GATTTTGAGAGACATTTCCATGTGTGTTTAGTGACTGTGGGAATTGGGGAAGTCTGCCCCACTTGCCATCTGAAATTGTGTACTGGTACTCTTCACAGCACTCTGACACCTGTGTTGAGGAATACATTTAGTGCCAATTGAGAGAGAAACTAAATTGCCAGCAACAGCTTCTGCAGCAATGAGTCATCCATATTTCAGTTCATTTTTTTCAATGAGCTTTTATTGCCATTAACTTGCATGGTTTGAAGAAAACTCCCCTCTATGAGGCATGGCTTCTGCATTTTCCAGTACAGAAGTCTACCTGGGAGTGGTTTGGAGCCTGCTTGAAGCTGTGATGTTGCAATACTTCATCGTTCTTTAATGCTTTTTTTGGTATCGAATCTTCAGGAATGCATTAAAGACTTTCTTGTAGCCCAGCAAATTTTCTCATATTGTTATTTTCTTTTTTTCCATAGCAAGCTTGAAGTAACTGGAGAAGCATATCAATGTTCTTTGCTTGTGGCAAAAGAGAAGATGCCATCTGGAAGGCTACTTAGTCACTGCTGAATTTGTGGAGTTATTTACATGCTTACCTTGAGATGCTCAGACAGAAATGTGGAAGGAGGTTCTTTTTGAAGAGTTCACTTAAAGCCCTGCTGACTCCTCATGGGAAGCATTGGCAGATAGTTGATTTAGAGATGGTTCTGTTAATATGTCAGATAACTTAATTTTTCTTCGTTGTATGTTTTTATAATGGGAGACACTTGTGTGAAAACAGAGTCTTCTGGTTCCTCAGCTCTATTGGCAATCTTCCCACAGTGGGAAAGGTTTTAAGACTAAACTCAGGAATGGAGGAATAAGGAGATAGAAACAGTTCTTCTTAACATCTTTTATCTCAAAGGTCTTTGCAACTGATAGTCTATTGTGTAACTGAATTTCGTAGAGATCGTGGTGGAAGATGGCAGCAAATTGGAACATGAACTCCTATAACGTGCTGTGGGAAGGAGTCAAAGAGGATATTGTAATGAGAAAAAGGGCAGCCCTTCCATTTTCAGTGTCTTGGATGCCAAGTTTTACTGTACTGTTATTCTGCAAAGCAACTGAAAACTAGGTTGCATGTAGATTCTCTTAATAATGAAAAAAGTAAATGTATGCAGAGTATATTCTTTTTCCTAGAAATCTGTGCTTTGGAAGTTTCCAGATGTGCCATCAGGTGTCCGTTTTCATGTCATTTTTCATTTGAAGATAATTACTTTCCCTTTTAAAATATTTTCCATGCATGCTCACAAGGCTCCGTTTGTGTTGCTTTTAATAGTTGCAGTTCTCTGAAAATACTGATTTACAATTACACCAATCAAATATGCCAAGGAAATGATTGTATTCATCCTTCTAGGTTTGCAGAAGACCATAGCATTTCCTTGAGTTTATTTCTGTAAGTTATTGTATAAATGAGGAGACTTAAGGAGCAGTTTAAAAGTCTTGCCAAAGGTTATGTATCACGATAATCACAGAGAGCAGTCCAGCTCTTTCTTTTTACCTAATTGACACTCCTCACAAATATCAGGTCCAGTTTAGATTGTAAACTTTTTGGGGCAAGAGTCATGCTTTTACTACTTTGTCTGGAGCCTAGGCAGCAGTGAAAAAGCAAAGAGTTGTCTTGTCAGCTTTGTTTGGCTGGACCCGAAGCTCGATTTCTCTAACAGGCTCTAGTAGTCAAAGAGAAGGATAAACTTTTGTGGCAGAGGAGGCAGCATCTGGTTGAATACAGAAGTGTCTCTCTTCAGTGCCAGAAGTTCACATTTTGCTTTATCTGAAGTGAAGGTCTTGATCATAAAGAACTGCACATCGGGCTTTGTCAGATGAAGGGAGCTGCCTTCTGCTTGGTTTGGCTGAAGCAAGGTGTGTCTTCCTTGGTCTTCCAGAAAGCTCTGTCCTGGTTGAGGAAAGCACGGGTGTACTCTGCTGTGCAAATTGAACAGGAACACACTTGAGGTTGAGCGGCATGGACATGATATACATACACTGCTCCTTTCTTTGGACTGAGATCACTTTTGGAGAACAAGAGCATGAAAGATGTAAATGGTCTGTAATGATGGAAGCCTGTTGCACACATGAGGAAGAGATGAACTCATTTCTCAAATGATTTTTAGGTCTGTTTTTTTTCTAATATTTATATTTTTGTGTTAGGAAGTGGAATATTTGTTAAAGAAGCATTGTTGGTAAACTTAGAAACAGTTGTCTGTAAATTTCCTTCAGCCTGTTCGTGCATTTTTGCCTTAGAAGTTGGCTTTTTATTGCTGAGAAATACAGTGTAAATGTGAGTAATAGTACATTATTTATGGTTATGTAGGAGGCTAAAGCTAAAGTCTCGGGGTGGGCCTGCTGAGCAAGCTCAGAAATGCATTGGTGAGAAAAACATTTGAAGGAAACTGTTCAGCTTTGGAGCAAACGTTTGCTGGTGTGCATAGTTCTGTCTCGAACTGGGGGAGAGATGGGGTGTCCAGTCAATAGACTCCATCAGTGTGGAGACATGGCCGCCCTGGACCAAGCCTGCTTTGTATTCCCACCTCGCGCTCTCCCAGCGGCCATGTGAAATCTGCCCGCGGGCTGTTTATGGTGCGCCTCTAAAACGGAATCATAATTTTGGTGACTAATAGCCAGAGCATGTGGCTCCAGCACCCCCGGGCTGGCGGCAGGCTCTCCCCTGGTTATGAATGTAGTTAGGTGGCCCCCAACTGTTTACAAGACAGCAGAGGTGAGATCTTTGATTGACAAGTCAGAAATGCATTAGATCATTCCCTCTGCCAGTCTCTGGTTCATGCTGTTAAAAATGTCAGCCTCTCCAAGTTTGAATGGCAGCCCGAGGGCCTCAGAAGCTTTTTGTTTTCTGAGATGGAAACACAAATTGGATGTGTGCCTGAGCGCTTCATCCTGGGCTGTAATTTCATCTTTTAGCTAAGAACCACAAGGTACATGAGCAAAGCACCCTGTAAACAATAATACTGGGGAAAAAAATAAACAAGGTCGTGTTTCTGGTACGTTGATCCACCGGTGTCCTGACCTCTATCACGTTGAACATCTCCACTCTGATTGCTGTTCCCTTTGGCATTACAATGGGAGGAGAGAGACTGACACGGGAGGCAAAGATTTAAAGTTGCAGTGTTGTTGCACATTCCGTATATTGGCTATGAAATATTGTACTGCCACAATGTGACTCCTGGTTTATTAAGCAAAATTTCTTATTGGAGGTGCTGGGCAGCAGTTTCTTCTGTTCCTCCTTGTCCTACCAC